TTCTTCTTCTTCTTCTTCTTCTTCTTCTTCTTCTTCTTCTTCTTCTTTTGTTTGAGACAGGGTCTCATCTAGCCCAAACTAGCCTCAACTTGCTCTGCTAACATAGAATGACCTTGAACTTCTGATCCTCCTGACTCCACCTCCCAAGTGCTGAGATCAAAGGCGTGTGCCACCACACCTGGTTTTATGTAGTGCTGAGTTTGAACCCAAAGCGTTGTTCATGCCAAGCAAGCACTTTATCGGCTGAGGTATGTCCAGCCCTGGTTATTGCTTAATTCTTATCCCATAGTCTGCAATACCAGGGCAGGCTTGACCCAAGGGGCTCAGCAGTCAGGAGAGCCCTGGGTGTGGCAAGGAAGGGATGCCTAGAGGGGGCCCTGGCTGTCTCAGGTTTGGGAACATGGCTCTGATCCCCCCTTCCAGGACTGGTGGGGTGGAGGGCAGGGTACCCTGCTCACCTGCCATTGCCGTACTTGATTCGAATATCTCGGCTCCGGTTGAGCTCCTTGCCGTCCTTGAACCAGCGGTAGGAGGGCTGGGGGTTTCCCGCTGCTGCCTCACACTTCAGTGACTGCTTCTCGCCCACTTCTCCTGTCTGGCTCTTCATCTTCTTCAGCTTGGGCCGGGTGGCTGTGGGGTACAAGGCAGGTAGGTCAGCGTGGGGGTCGTGTGAACGGTGCCAGACACAAGCAGTAAGAGCCCCCATCTTGAGGCTGGCACTGGGGAGACTAGAAGCGCCCCTGTTCCTGACATTTCTCTTTAGTCCAACGAAACCCACATTTAGAGTCTGCAGTGGGAACAAGGTTCTACTACTTCTAGGCACTCCTCTGGCCTTGGGTACAAAGAGCTTCACATTCGCTTATAAAACCTTCACAACTCTATGACTTCATTGCACTGTTTAAACTGATTTATAGACAGGGAAACTGAGGCTTAGAAGAGTGAAGTCACTTCCCTGAGGGTCAGTAATGGACCCGAGGTTCAAATCCATATCATGACCTCAGTGATATAAGTCCTCCCTCCCCTCCCTTTTCCTCCCCTCCCCTGCCAGGCCTGTGCTGGGCCCAGAGGGCACAGGAAGACAGGATGGTGGACTCAGCTACCACTTCCAGAAAGGTCAGCCTGGCAGGGCACTGTATCCTGGCACTGTCACTGCAGCATGGCACATGGGGCCGGTCACAGGTGGCAGAGCCTGGAAGAGCAGTTCTAGTCCTAACCCTGGGGACAGGGCTCAGGCAGTTAAGAGCTCAAGGATGGGATTTGGAAGGAAGTGAGTAGGCGAGCCAGGCTGAGGCAGCTCTGGGCTGAAGGAGTGTGAGGCAGAGCAGTGGGCTGTCAAGGCGTGGTGAAGGGCAGCAATACAGGTGGGCCCAGGCCTGGACACCAAGCTTCAAGCTTTCTCCCCTGGTTCTGAAACCCCAGGCTGTTCCTTTGTGCCACTTCCTGCCACCTTAACACACACACACACACACACACACACACACACACACACACACACACA